ATCCCCTTGTGCTTCTGTGTCTTGGTGTATCTGAGTATTTCCTACAAACATGACCTTTTCTGTGTAAGATTTAGGGCTGCAAGCTGCCTGGGAGATGGCATCCCAGTCTTAGATCTTCAATATCTCTGCCTCTTTTGATGAGCACTTGTCTGTCCTACTCAAATGCCACCTCCTCACTGTAGCCTTCCCTGACTCTCAGGACAGTTCAAACAAGTTCTCCGAGGGCAGATATTTAGTTATCTGTTCCTATAAGGCCTAGCAGACAACTAAACATCTGTCCTCAGAGAACTTGCCATCTAGTGGGAAGATGAGCATCACAGCAGCAAAAGTCACTGTAATATCAGCAAATGAGGCCGAGTTCCAACTGAGGGTTACAAGAGATGGAGGAGAGAGAAATTCATGTGGGCTGAAGAAGTCAGGAAAGGAGGCGGGAACTGAGAGCAGCACTGACATACACACACCACCACGTGTGAAACAGACGGCTAATGGGAAGTTTCTCTACAGCACAGGGGGCTCAGCTTGGTACTCTGTGATGACCTGGAGGGGTGGGACGGGGGTGGTGGGAGGGAGGCCAAGAGGGAGGAGACGCATGTGAATACACACAGAGCTGATTCACATTGTTGTACAGCAGAAATTAAAACACTGTAAAGCAATTATACTTCAAAAAGAAATAAATACATATTTTTAAAAAAGAAAGGAAGCAGGGCTTCCTGGAGGAGGTGAAGCTGGGGTTGGGTATTGGGATGGGGTAGAAAGAGCACTCGGAGAAGGCAATGGCAAGCCACTCCAGTACTCTTGCCTGGAGAATCCCATGGACAGAGGAGCCTGGTAGGCTGCAGTCCATGGGGTCGCTACAAGTCGGACACAACTGAGCGACTTCACTTTCACTTTTCACTTTCACACCTTGGAGAAGGAAATGGCAACCCACTCCAGTGTTCTTGCCTGTAGAATCCCACGGACAGGGGAGCCTGGTGGGCTGCCATCTGTGGGGTTGCAGAGAGTCGGACACGACTGAAGCAACTTAGCAGCAGCAGCAGCAGAAAGAGCACTGCAGGTTGGGAGCCATGTGCAGGAAAGGCATGCGAGAAAGGTGTAAGCAAGAGACAGCGACAAGGGCTTCCCTGGTGGTTCAGTGATAGAGAATTCGCCTGCCAGTGCAGGAGCCACAGGTTCGATCCCTAATTTGGGAATATCCCACATGCTATGGGGCAACTAAGCCCGTGAGCCACAACTACTGAGCCTGTGCTCCACAACAAGAGAAGCCACTGCAGCCCATGCACTGCCACAACTAGAGAAAAATCCATGCAGCTACAAAGACCCAGCACAGCCAAAAATAAATAAATATTTTTTTATATGATGGAAGTGGCAAATATTATTTTGTAAAAAAAAAAAAAGAAAGAAAGAAAGAGACGGTGACAAGACCATCCTGGCTAGGGTTGGGAAAAGGAATAACATGGAAGCAACCAGAGCTGAGGTTGGAGAGGAATCCTGGGAGCCAAGCTGGAAGGCTTTGGGTGTCAGGCTGAGTGGTTCACACCGTATGCAGTGGGCAATGGGGAGACTGGCAGGACAGCAAAGCTGGGTGGAAACAGTATGCCCAGGAATTCCTGGGGCCCTTATAGGTCTGGCTTTCTCTCTCTCTCTCTAAGGCTGCTGTTCCAGCCCACAGGAAACACGCTGAAGTCTCTGGGCAGAGATGGGTAACAGTGTATCTGTCCCTAAGACCAGGGACCTCTGGCCAGGAGGGGCACCAGCCCAGAGACTCTGCAGACAGCCCTGAGACGTGGCACGCTGCCCTCCAGGTGACAAACCCAACACTCCTCTGCTGTCTTCTCACCTTGGGTTCTATTTTCCTCCCCACCCAACTCCACTCTGCCTTCCAGGGAAGAAGAAGCCACATGTCCACTTTCCCCCTTTCCTGAAATTCTCTTCCTATTTCCAAGTCTCTGACTGGTGATCTCCTACTCATTCTCCCAACCCCAGTTCAACCCTTCACTTTGGAATCTTCCTTGAATCAGCCAAGCAGAGGGAATCATTCTTACTTTGTTCATAGTTAGTGCTGCTTCTTACATTATGTATGGCTGGAGGTCAAGGACAAAGACTGACCTACCTTCATAGTACGAGAGACCAACACAACACCTGACCCAAAGCAAGCACTTGATAAACTCACATGAGGTGGACTGTTGAACTGTTTAGTGCCCCCAAGCTGATTCACATTGTTGTACAGCAGAAATTAAAACACTGTAAAGCAATTATACTTCAAAAAGAAATAAATACATATTTTTAAAAAAGAAAGGAAGCAGGGCTTCCTGGAGGAGGTGAAGCTGGGGTTGGGTATTGGGATGGGGTAGAAAGAGCACTCGGAGAAGGCAATGGCAAGCCACTCCAGTACTCTTGCCTGGAGAATCCCATGGACAGAGGAGCCTGGTAGGCTGCAGTCCATGGGGTCGCTACAAGTCGGACACAACTGAGCGACTTCACTTTCACTTTTCACTTTCACACCTTGGAGAAGGAAATGGCAACCCACTCCAGTGTTCTTGCCTGTAGAATCCCACGGACAGGGGAGCCTGGTGGGCTGCCATCTGTGGGGTTGCAGAGAGTCGGACACGACTGAAGCAACTTAGCAGCAGCAGAAAGAGCACTGCAGGTTGGGAGCCATGTGCAGGAAAGGCATGCGAGAAAGGTGTAAGCAAGAGACAGCGACAAGGGCTTCCCTGGTGGTTCAGTGATAGAGAATTCGCCTGCCAGTGCAGGAGCCACAGGTTCGATCCCTAATTTGGGAATATCCCACATGCTATGGGGCAACTAAGCCCGTGAGCCACAACTACTGAGCCTGTGCTCCACAACAAGAGAAGCCACTGCAGCCCATGCACTGCCACAACTAGAGAAAAATCCATGCAGCTACAAAGACCCAGCACAGCCAAAAATAAATAAATATTTTTTTATATGATGGAAGTGGCAAATATTATTTTGTAAAAAAAAAAAAAGAAAGAAAGAAAGAGACGGTGACAAGACCATCCTGGCTAGGGTTGGGAAAAGGAATAACATGGAAGCAACCAGAGCTGAGGTTGGAGAGGAATCCTGGGAGCCAAGCTGGAAGGCTTTGGGTGTCAGGCTGAGTGGTTCACACCGTATGCAGTGGGCAATGGGGAGACTGGCAGGACAGCAAAGCTGGGTGGAAACAGTATGCCCAGGAATTCCTGGGGCCCTTATAGGTCTGGCTTTCTCTCTCTCTCTCTAAGGCTGCTGTTCCAGCCCACAGGAAACACGCTGAAGTCTCTGGGCAGAGATGGGTAACAGTGTATCTGTCCCTAAGAACAGGGACCTCTGGCCAGGAGGGGCACCAGCCCAGAGACTCTGCAGACAGCCCTGAGACGTGGCACGCTGCCCTCCAGGTGACAAACCCAACACTCCTCTGCTGTCTTCTCACCTTGGGTTCTATTTTCCTCCCCACCCAACTCCACTCTGCCTTCCAGGGAAGAAGAAGCCACATGTCCACTTTCCCCCTTTCCTGAAATTCTCTTCCTATTTCCAAGTCTCTGACTGGTGATCTCCTACTCATTCTCCCAACCCCAGTTCAACCCTTCACTTTGGAATCTTCCTTGAATCAGCCAAGCAGAGGGAATCATTCTTACTTTGTTCATAGTTAGTGCTGCTTCTTACATTATGTATGGCTGGAGGTCAAGGACAAAGACTGACCCACCTTCATAGTACGAGAGACCAACACAACACCTGACCCAAAGCAAGCACTTGATAAACTCACATGAGGTGGACTGTTGAACTGTTTAGTGCCCCCACACAGCCCAACTCCAGCTAGAGCACTGTGTCCAAAAACACTGACGACGCAGAGGGTAACCAGAATGGAAAAAGACCTGGAAACTGAGTCCTATAAGAAAGGATTTAGGGCACCAGGGTGTTTGGACTGGAGAAAAGAAGACTCAGTGGACCTCGAACAGATTTCTTCGAACACAATGTGAAAAGCTGCAGAGAAACCGGATTTGGTGTGTGGCCCCCAGTGGTCAAAACTGGGGCCACTTGTGGAAGTGACAGGGAAGCAGGTTTCAGATGAGATTAAGAACAAACATACTTAAATAACTAGAGCCTCCCTGAGCTGCCAAATAATATGTGGTGAATTCATGAAAGGCAAATATAGTAAGGTGTCTTGTGAGAAAACTTCAACTGGTATTCAGACGGACATGGTCTCAATTCTGCCCCTAATTACTGGTTTGACTAAGAAAATGATGAGAATGTCATTGTTGTTGTTGTTGTGTGTTGTTTAGTCACTAACTCATGTCCGACCCTTTTGTGACCCCATGGACTGTATGGAGTCCACCAGGCCCCTCTGTCCAGGGGATTTCCCAGGTAAGAATACTAGAGTGGATTGAAAATTTCCTTCTCCAAGGGATCCCCCCGACCCAGGGACAGAATCCACATCTTCTGCATTGGCAGGTGGGTTCTTTACCACTGAGCCACCTGGGAAGCCTGGATAGATAGATGGTAGATAGATAGATACTTGATAGACAAGATGATAGATGACAGTCTTTAATGCCTATTATGTGCTAGGCACTGTGCCAAGTATTTTAGATTTATTATCCACCCTATCCTCACAACTGTGGAGAAGGAAATGGCAACCCACTCCAGTATTCTTCTCTGGAAAATTCCTTGGACAGAGGAGCCTGGCGGGCTACAGTCCATGGGGCTGACAAAATGTGGGACACGACTGAGTGACTAAGCACATCCTCACAACTGTAGGAGTAGCAGCTAGTATTTTTCTCACTTAAAGAAGAAGAAACCGAGGCTCAGAGAGCCCTGAATCCAGGACTCAAAATCAGGTCAGATCTACTCCAAAGCTTGAGACAACCCAGTACCCAGAACACCCTTCTGAGACTCAGTTTCTTCATAAAACTAGGATTATTCGATGAACAGTGTGGTCCCTACACCATTTTAGCAAGCAGAAGTTTTAAAAATATTTCATAGTTTACAACATGCAGAAATCTGCCTAGAGGTGCCACAATTTATGTCGGGCTGTCTCCTCTCTCCCCTCAGCGCCCCCACCAGGGCGGCCACTCCATGGCCCTGGCCAACCTCACCTCCCGCCCAGCGTTCCTCCTCCTCGGCCTGACGGACGGCACAGACGTCCACCCGCTGTTGTTCCTCCTCTTCCTTGGCGTCTACCTGGTCAATGCCCTGGGCAACCTGAGCATGGTGGTGCTGGTGAGGTCCGATGGGGCCCTCCGCTCCCCCATGTATTACTTCTTGGGTCACCTGAGCCTCGTGGACATCGGCTTCACCACCGTCACAGTCCCCAGGCTGCTGGCCGGCCTGCTCCACCCGGGCCAGGCCGTGTCCTTCTGGGGCTGCTTTGCCCAGATGTACTTCTTCGTGGCTCTGGGCATCACCGAGAGCTACCTGCTGGCCGCCATGTCCTACGACCGCGCGGCGGCCGTGTGCCGGCCCCTGCACTACGCGGCAGTCATGACGCCCGGGCGCTGCTCGGCGCTGGTGGCGGCGTCCTGGGCCGTGGCGCACCTGCACGCGCTGCTGCACACGCTGCTCATCTCCGAGCTCTCCTACCCGTGCGCCGCCCGCGTGCGTCACTTCTTCTGCGACATGACGGTGATGCTGAGCGTGGCCACCTCGGACACGTCGGCGGCGCAGACAGCCATCTTCTCCGAGGGCCTGGCCGTGGTGCTGACGCCGCTGCTCCTGGTGGCCCTGTCCTACGCGCGCATCCTCGTCGCGGTGCTGGGGGTGCGGTCGGCAGGGGGCCGGCGCCGCGCCTTCTCCACCTGCGGGGCCCACCTGGTGGCGGTGTCGCTTTTCTTCGGCTCCATCCTCTCCGTCTACTTCCGGCCCTCGTCTGCCTACTCGGCCCACTACGACCGCCTGGCCAGTGTGGTCTATGCGGTGGTTACCCCGACCCTGAACCCTTTCATCTACAGCCTGCGCAACAAAGAAGTCAAGGGCGCCCTAAAAAGGGGGCTCCGATGGAGGGCTGCACCCCCAAGAGGTGTGAGGGCAGGTATGGACTCACTGGCATCTCAAGAATAATAATTACAGAAGAACGCCAGTCTCCCCTCCCTCTCCTTTTTATAGCTTTCCAAAACACCAGCAACTTTTAATCCCGCAGTGTCTTATTTCTTGTTAAATTAAAAATTAGATCTGAAGCCAATGGGACAAGGTGTTTATTCACAGGGATGGGGACAGAGCAATAAGCCAAATTTGTTTCTGTATTGCCCGAATGTCTGATATAGAGCCTCCTTTTCAGTTTTGGAGAGATGGAAGGGGAACAAGCAGGGAAGGAGGAAATGAATCTTGTGGGGAGAGAGGGGAGAGAGTGTGAGCAGCAGCAGTCCCGTGGGTGAAGAGGAAGCTCGAGAAACAGAGCAGGTCTGAGGTTTTTAGGTGGTTTTTAAAGATGTCTTGCAATGTAGTCCACATCCCTACAGACTCCTTTTCTAGAAACTTGGGGAAAGACCCAGTTATTTAAAGAGAGAAATATTCTGAGGGGCTTCCCTTGTGGCTCAGCTGGTAAAGAATCTGCCTGCAATGTGGGAGACCTGGGTTCGATCCCTGGGTTGGGAAGATCCCCTGGAGAAGGGAAAGGCTACCCACTCCAGTATTCTGGCCTGGAGAATCCCATGGACAGTTCATGGGGTTGCAAAGAGTCGGACACGACTGAGCAACTGAACAACAACAAATATTCTGAAAGCAAAATACTCAGCATTGAGAATATCGTAAAGAAATGACCACTCTCGTTTAATTTTGGAAGGAGTTTACTTAAGAAGAATTCCTTGGAGGCGGTTTGGCAGTTTCTATCCAATTATAAATGTTCATATCCTGTGACTGAGTATACCCACTTCTGAAAATATGTCCACGGAAACACAGTATAAGTCTACAAAAAGCATATGAACCAGTAAATAAAATCGAAGCATTATTCAAAATAATAAAAAAAAACTGAAAACAACCCAAATGTCCACCAAGAATAGATTATTTAAATAAATTATGGTAAATAGCATCCATTTAACAAAACATTACATAGCTTCTAGAAGACTTACATGTCTTTACGCAAAATGATGAATTCAGAAAATACTTTAAGTAATAATGAGAAAATGGCAGCTACAATTTAGTCCTATTTATTTATAATATATAAAGTTAGTCTATGCATAGAAAATATCTGGAAGAGTATGCCCCAGCTTTTAACTGCCATCATGGAGGGGGTGAAGAACAATGGAGGACCCACATATTCCACTTTATTACTTATTTCTTCATTGTTTGGCTATTTCTTGGTGAGAATGTATTCTTTTCAAAATCAATAAAAATTTTTAAGAAGAAAAGTAAAAGTTGGCATTATTAAGAGGACTTTTTTAAAGGTGAGATCTTTTAAGACATAAATTCATTTCAAATAACACATCAGAATGCACTCAAATCAAATCAATAGGTATTTGTTCTCTATATCTAGCAGATTCAAGGCACTGGGTTAGGCACCATAGAGAGGGCACCTGTCTTTGAGATCAAGACACTTGTAATATACTTGGTAAGAAAAGAAGTAAACAAAGAAAGCACCAGATAATTTCAGCATAATATTCTAGAGGAAAAAATCTACATCAGTCATAAATAGACTTTAGTCTTTCTGTCTCGATTTGTGTTACCTTGGGCAATAGGTGAGCCACCATTTTAATGTCTATAAATTAAACAATTCATAACAGGACCCTGTGGTTCAATCTGTATGATTTTAATTCAAAAGATGAATTGTCATCTAAAACATAGATGCTACCTTGGACTTCCCTGGTAGTCCAGTGGTTAAGACTTCGCCTTCCAATGCAGGGAGTATGGGTTCAATTCCTGGTCATGGAGCTAACATCCCACATGACTCGTGGCCAAAAAAACACAAAAAAACCCAAAACATTAAAAAAAAAAGAAGCATCATTGAAACAAATTCAATAAAGACTCTAAAATTTTTTTAATTAAAAGTAAAAAATATAGATACTACCAAAAGAAGTAGGGCTTCCCAGGTGGCACTAGTGGTAAAGAACCCACCCGCCAATGAAGGAGATGCGAGAGACTCGGGTTTGATCCCTGGGTTGGGAAGATGCCCTGGAGAAGGGCATGGTTGCAAGATCCACTCCAGTATTTTTGCCCCAAGAATCCTTTGGACAGAGAATCCTGGAGGGCTACAGTCCCTGGTGTAGCAAAGAGTAGGACATGACTGAAGCAACTTAGCACATCACACATCAGGAGTCATTAACTTGCCATTAACTGACAAATGATTGGTACAGTTAAAGGAAACAGAAATAACTGTAGAATGTGATCATTAAATGGATGAATCAATCAACACCTGAAAATAAAATTAAAAACTGAATAGATAAGCAAGGGGAAAAATGATGGTCCTGGAGAATAAAGTTACAAGAGTAATACATAATAAATTGGAAGATATTCTTCATGGAATAGACATGTTTGGCAAAAGCCAAGTGCAGAAGTGTCTGAGAAATCTGAATTTATTTCTTAGAGAATTAGGAACTATACTGGACAGAGGAGCCTGGTGGGCTACAGTCCACAGGATTGCAAAGAGTCAGATACAGCTTAACAACTAAACAACAGCAATATGTTCCTTGAGTACAATAAACACCAAAATACAGTGGTATTTATTCAAAATAGAATAATAGTCATTGAGTGTCCTCTACATATCATGGTGTATCACAACCAAGATGCAGTGATAAACCCAAGAGGCACAATGTAACCTGGCTCTAATGACATTTGGGGGAAACTCTTCTTGGGAGTGCTATGCTGGCTGCACTAGCAGCGCCAAGCTTGGGTGCTATCTAGGCTGTTTAGAATACTACTCACTGTCAGTACTACACCTACTGTTTGAAAACATCCTTTAATCTTTAAAGTCACTGGTTGAAGAAAACGCTAATTGTCCATTTTGAAAAGATTCTTCTCAGGGCTCCGTTTATGTCTCTGTTCCTCAGGCTGTAGATGAAGGGGTTCAGCATGGGGGTCACCACAGTGTACATCACAGCCATGACAGTCTCCTTGATAGTAGAGTTGTCAGCTGAAGGGCAAAGGTAGAGGCCAATGATTGTCCCATAGAAGAGAGACACCACAGAGAGGTGGGAGCCACAGGTGGAGAAAGCTTTGCGGATACCCCTGGCAGAGCAGACCTTGAGGATGGAGGACACGATTAGTGCATAGGATGAAAATACCAACAGGAATGGAACAATAATGACAAGCCCTCCCAAGATAAAAATCATTGTTTCATTTATCTGAATGTCAGAGCAGGCCAACTTTAGCAGAGCTGACATGTCACAGAAGAAGTGGGAGATCACGTTATCAGCACAGAAAGACAGCCGAGCCATGAGCAGGGTGTGCAACAAAGAAATGAAGATGGTCAGCACCCAGGACAGCACCAGCAGGGAGAGACAGAGCCCGGGGCTCATGACGGTGGTGTAGTGCAAGGGGATGCAGATGGCCACGTAGCGGTCATAGGCCATGGCCACGAGGAGGAAGCTCTCCAGGTCTGCAAAAAGCAGGAAGAAGTACATTTGTGTCAGGCAGCCAGCATAAGAGATGGACGGGATAGAATGTGATCATTAAATGGATGAATCAATCAACACCTGAAAATAAAATTAAAAACTGAATAGATAAGCAAGGGGAAAAATGATGGTCCTGGAGAATAAAGTTACAAGAGTAATACATAATAAATTGGAAGATATTCTTCATGGAATAGACATGTTTGGCAAAAGCCAAGTGCAGAAGTGTCTGAGAAATCTGAATTTATTTCTTAGAGAATTAGGAACTATACTGGACAGAGGAGCCTGGTGGGCTACAGTCCACAGGATTGCAAAGAGTCAGATACAGCTTAACAACTAAACAACAGCAATATGTTCCTTGAGTACAATAAACACCAAAATACAGTGGTATTTATTCAAAATAGAATAATAGTCATTGAGTGTCCTCTACATATCATGGTGTATCACAACCAAGATGCAGTGATAAACCCAAGAGGCACAATGTAACCTGGCTCTAATGACATTTGGGGGAAACTCTTCTTGGGAGTGCTATGCTGGCTGCACTAGCAGCGCCAAGCTTGGGTGCTATCTAGGCTGTTTAGAATACTACTCACTGTCAGTACTACACCTACTGTTTGAAAACATCCTTTAATCTTTAAAGTCACTGGTTGAAGAAAACGCTAATTGTCCATTTTGAAAAGATTCTTCTCAGGGCTCCGTTTATGTCTCTGTTCCTCAGGCTGTAGATGAAGGGGTTCAGCATGGGGGTCACCACAGTGTACATCACAGCCATGACAGTCTCCTTGATAGTAGAGTTGTCAGCTGAAGGGCAAAGGTAGAGGCCAATGATTGTCCCATAGAAGAGAGACACCACAGAGAGGTGGGAGCCACAGGTGGAGAAAGCTTTGCGGATACCCCTGGCAGAGCAGACCTTGAGGATGGAGGACACGATTAGTGCATAGGATGAAAATACCATCAGGAATGGAACAATAATGACAAGCCCTCCCAAGATAAAAATCATTGTTTCATTTATCTGAATGTCAGAGCAGGCCAACTTTAGCAGAGCTGACATGTCACAGAAGAAGTGGGAGATCACGTTATCAGCACAGAAAGACAGCCGAGCCATGAGCAGGGTGTGCAACAAAGAAATGAAGATGGTCAGCACCCAGGACAGCACCAGCAGGGAGAGACAGAGCCCGGGGCTCATGACGGTGGTGTAGTGCAAGGGGATGCAGATGGCCACGTAGCGGTCATAGGCCATGGCCACGAGGAGGAAGCTCTCCAGGTCTGCAAAAAGCAGGAAGAAGTACATTTGTGTCAGGCAGCCAGCATAAGAGATGGACGGGTCTTGGCTCTGCATGTCCTGAAGCAATTTGGGCATTGTGACAGAGGAGAAGCAAAGGTCAGAGAAAGACAGGTTACTGAGAAACAAATACATGGGTGTGTGGAGGTGGGGATCCAGTCGAATCAGGAACATTATGAGGAGGTTCCCCAGGACGGTGGTAACATACATGGCCAGGAACAGAGCATAGCACAAGTCTTGCTGATCAGGTCCAATGGGCAGGCCCAGGAGGAGGAATTCTGAGACGACTGTTTGGTTTCCCATTTTCATGCTGCTTTTGTTTTACCTTTTGAAAATTAAGAGTAATCTGTATGAAAGTATTAGCCTATATATATATATATATATATATATATATATATTGCATAACTTTCAAAAATATTTTCATTAAATGCCCATAACTCATAACAGTTGTTTAATACTTTATTTGAAATCTCCCCAAGTATGTAAATAAATATTTATGTAAAGGAAACCACAAACACATAAGAAATTATGGGTCAAGTTTGATCAAATTCCAAAATTCACTATGAATGTTCCATAACAGAACCGTGGATGGAGTCAGATCAACATGATCTGAAAGTAGACAGGAAGTAGGCTAAGTCTGTATGCCTCTTGCTTAGGGATACAAACAGTATAATATCAATCAGAAAACTAGTCACCAT